GGAACGGTGACTAGCTGTGCCACTTACCACCGGGCATAGTTTTTGCCTTCTCTGGAGGGCTTTTGTCCACTCTGTCACTTACAGAAACAGGCAAATTTGCTGCACCAAGTACCAAAAGTAATATACGCCGTTAATTCGCTAATATTTCCTTTTTCTGCGGTATAAGGCGCACCCGTGTACGAGGCGCAACTCGCCGCGAACGCTGCTGACGGAACGCGCGAAAATGCGCTTTTCTGATCCAGGAGTTGGTCAACGCTTTCTTTCATGCCGTTGATTGATGTTGATGGAACGGGTGGGGTAATAATATTGAAGTGAAAGTGCTGAAAATGAGGGGTAGCGCGTACAATTTGGCTGTCTTGAAAAACGCGTTGTCGCGCGCGTCTCTGCGACATTATAAGTTAATGCTTTTCATACCTCAAAAAAATAAGGTAACTCGAAGAACTTCAGCGTTCAAGGGTGAATGGTTGACAGTGAAAAACGGCTTTCTGTACTGTGGCGGGCATGGAAAAGAAGCAACTACACCAACAGGAGCATTCCGTGACAGTAATTCAATGTATGTGAAGGTAATCAGTTGTCAGTCAGTATTACTTCTTCGCAGCTTCATTGTCAATTTGCAGCAGAGAACCAACAAAGTAAAATACTAATCTTACACGGTTTACTCACTATGAAAGATAGACGAGGCAATTTAAAACCCGAATAAGATGGACATTGACTAGTAATTCTCTAGAACTGGGACCGAGGATGGATGAGGCGAAAAGACATTAGGGGCGCATTGGAGACACCAGAGGCGATGAGCAAGTGTAGAGAAGAACGGACGAGGAAAAAGATATAGTCCCAGACAGATATGATGCCAGTCACACGCAAGCATAAGGGCAACGCCGCTGATGGGACAGCAAACTGGTGGGGTGGAATTACTTTAGCGAGTAATGGCTCCACTCGTTTACGTCTTATCCTCAGCTTTAACGGCAATGTTGTACAACACCTAGCAGAGCAGGTTGTCCTATACTATAAAGGGCTTTTTTTCACGTATCCACGAAATGTGTCTTGGAGTGTTCAATTATGAAAAGTAACCTAAAGGTAGTCCGACTACCGCTAGGTTTCCGAGCTCTCCACCCTTCAAATTCCCATTGATAATGGTCGCCTGTTAAGCGAATATCTCATGATGGTGTCGTTGAAAGTGAGAATTGGGTTCAACGGTACATAGCTTTGAGGGCTGCGATACAGATACGTTACCCGGGATACGTTATTCATGAAGCAGTACAATGGTCGGATGTGCACAAGGCGAGTTGTACTCTTGCATTTCATGCTAGGCTCCCTCTCCTAGAACTTCCTGAAATTTCAGAGGTGGTTCTTCTTGCCTCGACATTTGTCGAAACTCGCTTACAACCCTGACACCGTGGAAGAGACCGGTATGCTTCCTATATTGCATTTTCTTTAGTTTCTTCCCAGATTTAGGCAGCTCTCATATCAACTAGACGTTGCAATCAGGTCTTTATCTTCCTCAGCAGCTGAGTATGAGAAGTCTGTTCCCACAACGATCTGACCGCGCAACTGTTTCGCTATTACCACACCAGCGGCTAGGGCACATCGTTGCTTGGGGATTTCCCAACAGGCCGAGAAAATTTATAATAGTTCATTTTTCTTGTTTCACATACGTTGCAAAGGGTAGGGTCGTTTCCCTTCAGAACTAGAAGATTGCTAGCTTTCTGACTTTTCGTGATATTTCCTGTTTCATGTATATACCCGCACACTCGACAGCAAACTTTTTGGGTAAAAGTAGGGAAATTTCCGGGAAATCCGGGAAAACCTGGGAGGAGTTGGAAAAATTCTAAGAAAGTGGTGGAGAATGAGGTCGTATGTTCCTCGCGGCTTTCCTCGTTTCTTACGTGCTATTCACCCCCCCCCCCACTCGGCAGCTTGGTAAGGAGGAAGGGAACAAGGGGTGTCGTACAAACCCCCTTCCCTCCCTCCCAAAAAAAGGAGGTGGAGGGTCGTACGGACGCGACCAAATCCCCAACAATGATGTGCCCTGCCAACGGCTTGCAAATGCGTCGCGGCGCGGGGCTACGGTAACAATTCACATGCTCACTACTTTACTTGGCATATTACACAATATCCCATTTCTGGTATAACCATAGCACATCAGTAGCTGGGGATTTGCTCAAGTCTGCACGACACCCTCCATTCATGGGGCAGCGAAACACGCAATTACCGTAGGGAACAATCAGAAGATCGACCAAGGTTGCTTAACCATAACTAAAGACTGACCAGTAGCGCGTCTGGTTATGGTTAGGCGTGTGGCTGGCAGTGCGGCAGGTCGGACGGAGTATAAAGGCGACCCGTTCATCACAACCCTCCGGCCCCTTTCCGTGCTTTGTTGACCGAAGAATGTGGCACGAATTCGCAGCTGCGGAGCCGTCGCTCCACAATTGACAAGGATAAGGGTTCGTGAAGGTCTTCTGAAGTATCTTAAAAACTGCTCATAGGGGAGCTCACTTTGGAAAAGATTCCTCACTGTGAACACCGCCACCAAAAACCCAAGTAAAGATTGTGTCATAGTTAATGCTCATGTATGTATTTTCAGGAGCGAATGTGCTTCTTTCAGCCAGTGAGGACTTTACGGACTTTACCGCTGTAATGGTTGGACATGAAGTTCACACGAGAGGATTTAGCGCTTTTCAGTTCGTCCAAGGTACATTACTCTTTCACCAGTGTGTGCTTGCGTGTATGTAGGTGTGTGTGTGACGAGCCGGGATAAACCGCGAAGTGAGGGTCTGCTCTTGCGGCTAGGGCAGCCTTCAGACTTCGCGTCGACGCGCTGTGACGCGCTACAATTGCAACAGCGCTCCACTACGTTATATTCCTGTTTTACATTTATGGTTGCTTCGAAAGTGGCTCACCTGTTCCATTCAAACACGCCCATCACTATCGCAGCCTGGGAACACTGCTACCCTCCTAGGTATAGTCTGGGAAAGGAATGCAGCGTAGAAAAACGAGCAGCGCGCGGCGCAGAGCACACAGTTGCGTCGTCTAGCTTAATTATTTTAGCAACGGTACGTGACCAGTCTTTATCTCCTCTCCAGCATTAATCACATGCCACTCTTTTTGAGCCCAGCACTTTCCTTCTATCCGAGCTTTTGCTGTGGCATTTATCTCGGGGACCTCATTTAGCTTCTTTTGTAGCAGTTCCCAGATTTGAGCGTTAGATGGCGGACGTCATTTTCCCTTCCAGCGATGCCCTAACAATTGTCCCCAACAGCAAGCACTTCTCATCTCTCTGCTGAGCAAGTTTGATCAGGCTCATCAAAAAATTCAGACCAATAATTGGTTCTTCCATATACAGAAAAGTCGAGCAGTAGGAATTAAATAGATGAAAAAATGGGGTTGATGAAATACTTTCAGGCACGAACGACACCATAATAGTTGCGGTGAAATCTCAGGAACTTGGACAGCTACCGTTTTCCTCGTATATGATGGTATTCACGATCTATGGTCGTATAATAATGGACGAAACGCTGGTACCTGGGCAAATTAAGTATGAAGGCATAGAGTTCCTCAATAAAGAGGAATTGGAACACTTCGTTGCCTATCCGCCTATGTTCGCCTAATTTCTTTCGAATGAAAACACTCAGGCCACTGGGATATATACTGTTCATTGGTGCTACCTATAGACCATATAGCCTTTAGTTGTTAATAAAGATTTGCAAATTAAAAGCATCAAACATTGGCCAAATAAATTCTGAAAACAGTTTTACGGACTTTTTTGTCTGGCTCCGCCCACATCAGAAATGACCCCGCCCGCGACATGTGTGCACCACACTCTCAACCGGCTACCCTGCGCTAACCTTAAGCCACTTTTTTCCGGTCTCGGGAGTGCTCCGGATCGAGCTACAAATTTTTGAAATGAGCATACTTTGTTTCAGCAAGCTCCGACCATTGTGGGCGGGTCTCTCCACGCCTCAGGCATGCCATTACCAAGCTCTCTCGGGAACCGAATCACTGAATTTTGTGTGGAGCACCTCCCATCTGGAGTACGCTCCGCCCATTCCGAGTGTGTGTCTCCCCCAATTAGTCTGACAACCCCTTGCTAACCTTATTCCACTTTTTTCCCATCTCTGGGCTGCTCTGGAAGCGAATTATGAATTTTTGTCTGCGGTGCCGCCAACTTTCGGGCATGTCCCGCCCACCGTGGGCGGGGTTTGCATAGGTCATGTGTTCTTCACATGTCCCATGCTCTACCAACCCCACGATGATTCGAGAAAACAACTCGAAACCTTGTGGAATTAGGCGTAAACATCTCACTCCGGATTATTATTGGAGTGAGTGCGAAACAGTTACTTGTCAAAAGGGGATGAAAGAGAACTTTGAAAAAACCCCCACTGCTCCCAGAATCATAAATGAACCGATTCTTGGCCTGTTCCTCTTCTGTTTCTTTTTCTGATCTACGAGCGGGGCATAGATGTTCCACGGAACTAATAACCTTCTTTGAGCTCGCTACTGCTTAATCATTGATTGCTCATGTTCCCAGATGTACACCCTTCCTTTGAAAAACACCAAAGAGTAAATGGAAATATTTTAGAGCCATATTTGAACAGACGACGGAATTCTATGCGGGAATTCCTCGTCAGAGAAACGTCATGCTAACGTATTGTTTACGTATGCTATACATCAGTCGTTCCAGCATTCCTGTGGGGGGAAATGTGGCATGATGGGACTATATCTTTGCGCCGTACACCACCTCTGCACCATTTAAACCTTGTCCGGAATATTTCTGAGATAATATCGCTCACTTTTGTTCGCCGCCGCTTTCTCGTTGCTGTCAATTTCGCGTCACCCTCTCCACATATCTCACATCCGGAACACTCATACTAATGGCCTTACGGGCGCCTACATACTTTTGCACGTATTTTTGAAAGTTCTATACTAGTAGCGGTGTACTTGATCGTTTACTCGTAATACAATCCACCGAAATATCTGGTCAGACAGCCACTGTTTATGAGCCGGTCAGCGTTTCTATTCCGACTACACGTTGCAAACAAGCTACGCTCGGGCTCGCTCCACTCTCGATTTTTTGTGTGTTCAGTTTTTTGTTTCTATGAAAGTGTAGATTACCGTTGAACTTGAGTTCACCATATAGTGCGCAAGGCATAAGTACGTTTACCAGTATCTCGGAAGAATTTCACCATAGTTCAATATTCCATGAATTTTCCATGTTGTTTAGCATTATGACCTGTTTCTGAGTGTCGCCATTACAAGAGAAAGTTGTCCGCAATTTGCGCCCCCCCTCCCCCCACACAGCAACAGTTCCTGAATGGAGGCGCTTTCATGTCCAACGGATCTTTTCCTGTCCCAGGCAGCGGTACAGCATCGCGATGTTCCTGCTTACCATCTTCCCATGTTTTATCAAATTCCTTCCTTTTTTAGAAGGTTTCTTCAAATCTTTTCAGTTTTTCTCCGAAAACTGTCGACGAGCGGTGGTGGGGGGAGGGAGGGGGGTTGGGAAGGGGTTCCCTTTAATGACTTCTGAAATTCAGCCATCAAAACAGTGATGGTTTTGTGGCCGCATGAACTGCAGGGGGGAGGGTAGCGCTGTGACACAGGGGAAGCGAGAAAAAGTCAATGGTCTAAATAATTTTATCGTGTTCGAAAAAGAGTTCATACCATTGCTAGACAGACCTCCACCGATCAAAGAGGACCCCCACCCCATTGCTGTATTCTCAGCGACCTACCGCTTGAAGAGGGAAAAGCCAACAATCCAAAAAATCTTCTCAGGCTGACTATAAACTTTCTTCCCGGAGACGAATGACGCCTTTTCGATATTCCCAATGACGCTGCATCCTAGTCCTAGACCGACCCAGTCTTGCCTTCACTGGAGACGGACCTTAACATCTTTTGGGTCTGGCCAACCACTGCGTGGAACGAATCCTCATCCAAACTCCTAGCATTTCGACTGAAAAACAAATGTACAGGTAATCTCAGATAGGTTGGCAACTGTTTCACGAATGGTGCAGCTTGGACAAATTCAAATTTGTCTGCATAACTTTGATTTTGCACCCTTTTCACTCTTTTTTTTCCATAAATTTAGCAGAGGCATTGGAATATTTTCCTTTTTATGTATCTGATAATACCCCTTTTGATACAGTATCCACTAATACTATTTAAACTTCTCATAAAATAATGCTTTTCTTGTAACCAAGTCGTACGGCAGATGATAACAAAATTTTATTCACCGCAAATTATTGCTCTTACGTAGCAGCAAATTGTTTGAGCTTAGACTGGTGATAGTCGGTCTCTGAAGGCGGCGATTCAGCCGTAATGGAGGGCCATTGTGAATAAAATTTTACCTAGTAACCTCGTAAGGCACAGAAGTTTTCCAAAGATTATTTGTGGCATTTTTCAAGTCCTATTAAACACATTTTATTTGTTTTCCAATCAATCAATTTATTTATTTGATTGTTCATTCACACATCCCACATAACTTGAAGAACTGCTTTCTAGTGCCTCATGCATTTATACTATCGTAGCCTTACGAGTAAAAAAACGGTAAGTTCCCGGCTCTCGGCTCAATCAGTATTAGTTAAGAGTGCATTGTTTACAGAAACTTCGCATTAAATTTAGACAGTAAAATAAATAGACAAATTGTTACATTTTGCATTTTTTTATTTTTCATCCCCTTCTTAGCCGCACTTAGGGGACGTATGTGTAATTGCCATTCATCATCTTCTCAAGCACATTCATGACATTCCTCCCGTCACGTCACATCATTCGATCAACAAAGAATTTTGTTTTTGTACCTATTACATAATGTATTTTGTTTATACTTTACAGTTTACAACCTTAATACCTGTCAATTAAGCCTTTGAAATTGAAGATCTCATGGTCTTTAGCTAACAATGGACCCCGACGAAAATTCACTGAAATCCTATGTTGCTGCGATAATTAAATTGAAAAAAAATTGGTGAAAGCTTAAGAGGAGACAGAGAGTGTACTCGTTCAGCTTAAGAAAATTTACGAGTTTTCCATAGCTGTTCAAAAATCTTGTTCGCTGCGGATGATAGGGAGTGCCGAGGGCGATGGCTTTAGCACAGCCCCAGTCCTTCTTCCTTCATTTTTTTCCTCCGGCAAGCGACAAGACATGTGCTCGTATCAGTCGTTTACCACCAGTTATTGTCCCTTATCCTCTTCAAAAACTGGGGTAGAATGACGCGCGCCAAACCCAGCCTAAGTGACACGCCAATTTATCAGCAGCGAAGCAACTTGTATCTTCTTAATACTGACTTCTTTTTTCCCATTTCACCGTTGGAACGAATTCCAAAATTTCAACGGACTTCGGAAAATTCCAAAACTATAGAGATCAAGACATTAGCAAGCGAGTCATTGCCGCTGATACTCGGCCGGTGGACCGTCTTCAGCGATCAGTCCACCACAGTATGATCATGCTTACCTGCCTTTCCCAGACTTCCATGAATTCTTCAATGTTTTCCTCGAAAACTGCCGTCGAGTGTGGAAGGGGGATGGGGGTCGTCACACGTAACTACAACTTTCAGCTTTCTCTGCAATAACCAAGTACGACTTCTATACGATTATCCTAACGTTGCTGTACTCTTTTTACTAATGCATTAAGTGACATATTTAAAGGCGTATTTGCTTAAAGGCAGTTGGCACGATAAATCCCCAAGGCGACTAGGATCAATACTCCTGGCAGGATAGAATTCCGCGACCCTGGGCAGGCGCTGCATAGCGGTTTCCCCGAGGAAGGTGCCCTTATAAGGGCCCTATCAAGCCACAACTTTACGTCCCAAACGCCCGCCACGCCCGCCCGCCCACAAATGGACGACCGTTCCTGACGCTCGTATTCATTCATTTGCTAAGCAAATTATGAAGCGAAGGGATTGGTATGAAGCGGCCGTGATGCTGCATGCATACATGGGTACACATATCTTCGGTAGCGGTGATTGGTAAGATGCCTACGGGAAACTCGTCCGAAATCGATTTACAAGTCACTGAGAACGGAGGCTTTTTCTTCGCAGGATTTTGACCGTTTCACTCCGTTCTTTCGCCATTTCCCCACTATATAGCGCCCTACTAGCATTTTAGGCTAACAATAAGTAGGAAATCATCGTGCCAACCGCCTTTAAGCATCGGTCAGAACTGATTGTCAGGTGAGCCTTTAGAAGACTTTTATAAGGCACTCTCCATGAAACTTCCTAGTATTTCATAGGTGGTTAATTTTGCCAAGACACTCGTCGGGGCTCGCGTATCCCTCCCCCAACTTTTATTTGTAATCGTAACTCTGTAACCCTGAAACTTAGCTGTGTAACGCTTCAGGATCATTTCAAATAGTGTTGCTTGGCTGTACGGAAGTCGAACGCATGGCGCGTTCAAAGAAGTGCTAATCAATGTCGAAAACTGGAAGCGCTCGTTCCACATATTCATGTTAAGAAATTTTAGCTGGCTTACAAACTCCTATCAGTCTTACTTCCACGAAACATACAGTCAGTTTGTTCTTATTTATTTTTGGCGGATATGGTGCAGTGGGAAACGGCCTCTTACAAGCGCTCTGGTCCGGGCTTAACTCCCGGATAGGCACAATCCCGAGAAGACAAAG